ATGAGCAAAAAGAAGCTTTTCACGGGTAGTAAAGCTTGATTAGTGCCAAAAGGGCGTACCTTGTAGGAGACCTGTATGAGTGATGTCTTGATAGAGGCAGGACTGAGAAGGAGCTTTGTAAATGCTATTCGCATAGATATCTTACACAGGAAACCTGAAAATGAGCCTTCAGGACAACTGGAACCACTTTATCACTCAGCAGGAGCTGAATGTAACAGAGCAGTGAAACTCGTATGTCTACAAACGTAGAGAAAGCTAGATGATGATGTATGTCACAATTTGTCGTCCCTCTAACACTCAGCTTCAAAATACAAGGCAGGATTACTCGTCTGCAGGCGCGGCGTCGCTCGCCACGCCTGCTAGCGCGGCAAATTACCATTACCTTGTCACATATCCCCCGCAAGGGCCCGGAACTTCATGCAGACTAGAGGGAGCAGAGAAAAGCCCAAAACTGATGCGATCTAACGGTGCGTTCATACTTTGCGGCAGCGTCCACCAGCGACCAATAGCGTCCACCAGCGTTCCGAGCGTCCGGCAGCGTCAGCGACTAGGAAAGTATAGATATCGATCTAGCGTCTGCCAGCGTCCTCCAGCGTCTACTGGTGTCCGGGAAAGGAGACAGGGTACATCACTGGCTAGGGATTTGGGTCGAATCGGTACGACCCCCTCCCCCTTAAAGGATGGCTCGAATACGACCCCCCTCCAGTTCCCTCCTCATCGTCGAGCTGTGAGCGGGGGGGGGTATATAGCACATATGAAACAGGAAAAATCAAGAAAAGTCAACAACCTCTCTCACAAGGACCCTCCTCCTCCAGCTAACAAATACGACCCATCTGTTGGGGAATCGCCAACAGTGGACAGTCAGAAGACAGTTAGGCGCGACAGGAGGGTACCAGCTGTCTGTCACCCTCCTATCGCGTCACACTTTTCTCTCCCGGACGCTGGTATACGCTGGCGCGCGCTGGTAGACGCTAAATCGATATCTATACTATCCTAGTCGCCGATGCCGACACGACGTGCCTTCCGTCATCGCCACATCTGGGCGATTTTTTCTACTTATAGAGGGCCAAGGAATACTTTGCCTGGAGTTCTCAACGCAGCCTACCACACTGTGCAGAGTAGCCCTGGATGGTGCGCGCCATTAACAAGGTGTTGCTATGTTGCTTGTCTGCACGTCGAACCTAAATTGCCCCCTACTCATAGAGTTGATAGGTACCGGACAGTTGGAGTTTTCCGTTATTCATTGCGCTTGACATAGGATGAGAGATAGTATTTTGCTGAAAGTGGCTATACACAGGACCCATCGTTGAGGAATCAACAATACATCTATCTGGGGAGAGGAGAGCGTGTGTGGCCACAGTGAGCTGGGGAGTACGGGGGTCCTATTCGACCTGGCGAGTGAATCGTATTGCCCCGGAGAATTTTCCATAACACGATAATGTGCCCTGGTTGACGGGGTCAATACATTGCAGGACAAAAAACTACAGCATAACCC